TCTGATAAGGGGAACTGAGACCACCCTGCCCTTTACACACCCTCATATAGGCCCACAGGGTGCAAGTGTGACCCCAGATACTGCTACTTAAAATAATTCCATCTTGTGCCTGAGGCCCATGTGCACCTACAGTAGCATGCAGACTGGCACATACTAGAAAAGCCTTTTATACTTATGCCTAAGAAACAAACAGAAGTTAAACAGTACTAGTAATCAGAATTCCAAACAATTTTAATGTCTAATTTTCCAATTTCTAACCCAATTTCTTCACATCCATCATTTTCAATGTTACACTTTTATTTCTCTTCAGTTACTCTCCCACATTAACATTTTATAAATGCCTTAAAAGCTAACACAAAAATGCTAGATTGCTATGGCAATCTCTTACATTTACAGTAAAATGCTTAACTATAAACTTAATATTGCTTCAGAATAAGCAAGTACCACACAGACATGGCAATGATTGGAGAGAAAAAGCTGCTGCACCATTGTTTAAATCCCTCAATTACACCTTAATTTGTAAGCCAAGTCTAAAGTTTTTTGTGACTATATAGCCACAAAATAGATTTAGGTGGGATCCATATGCTGCTAGCTTCTATATTGCAATCTAGATGGAAGATATGGCTGAATGTGTTCATATGGTTAGGGGAAATTACTCTAACATTTTAAATTAGACTGATTTTTGTATACAACAGTATACTTATTCCTTATTATTTCTTTTTGGGACATTGTCTGCTCTGTGCTATACAAGTGATAAGCAAAATGTGGATACTAATATTATGCTTTTCTGTAAAATTGATATAATGTAATGTGACAGAATCTGACCTTTATGTTGACTGATATTTAAACTGAAAACAATGGGAACACGTCACATGGTGAATAAGGGTAAACATAAGAATGACCATACTGGGTCAGACTAGAGGTACATCTAGCCCAGTAGCCTGTCTTCCAATAGTGGCCAATGCAAGGTGCTTCAGAGGGAATGAACAGAACAGGTAATTGTCAAATGATTCATCCCTCGTTGCCCATTCTCAGCTTCTGACAAACAGAGACTAAGGACACCATCCCTGCCCATCCTGGCTAATAGCCATTGATGGACCTATCCTCCATGAATCTTTTTTTTTTTTTAAAAAAACAACCCTGTTGTAGTCTTGGCCTTCACTATATCCCTGGCAAAGAGTTCCACAGGTTGACTGCGCGTGTATGAATAAATACTTCATTTTGTTTGTTTTAAACCTGCTGCCTATTAATTTCATTTGGTAACCCCTAGTTCTTGTGTTATGAGAAAGAGTAAATAACACTTTATTTACTTTCTCCACACCAGTCATAATTTTAGAGACCTCTATTATATCCCCACTTAGTCATCTCTTTTCCAAGTTGATAAGTCCCAGTCCTATTAATCTCTCCTCATATAGAAGCTGTTCCATGCCCCTAATACTTTTATTGCCCTTTTCTGAACCTTTTCCAATTCCAATATATGTTTTTTGAGATGGGACGACCACATTTGCACGCAGTATTCAAAATGTGGGCGTACCATGGATTTATATAGAGGCAATATGAAGAAAATGGGCGGAAGAATCTTTCCTTTTGAAAAGAGGGATCCACATCCATGATGAGATTTAGAATAGTAGAAAAATGGTAACAAAGGACATTTTATTGGACATCTATATGCTTGAATGTTGCAGGTTACCTAGGTGGGCAGCTGAGAGTACACATTTAAATCTACAGGAATTTCTAGGATGCTCACATCTCAATATCAGATTTTTATTCCACATAAACACGAAACAGGATATGAAGTTATTAGGATCACACCTTGATGTGATTTTCTATCCTTGTTCTATATTTAGAGAGTATGCTGTACAACGTGTACATAAACATACACACACCTCTCTTCTTCAGAAAAGCTGCACATTTACCTCCTTATGGACATGGTATTAAATTAATTCCACAACAGAATGTTGACAAGTAGGTGATCTGGGATCTACTGCTTGTGAATTATCACTGTAACAAGAATGCTGATACCATTTCCTTTGACTGTGGGGGTGCCACAACATTACAGGAGAAACCATTTAAACTGGAAAAAAAAAAAAAAAAAAAAAAAAAAAAACACTTTCCAAATGAAGCCAATTTAGTATTGGGTACCTTCGCCTGCAAAGAAAACATCTTTTTAACATGTACTAGTTGTAGTAATTTTCCAAATTTTAGTAACATTAAAACAAAACAGCTTGAAAATATTTAAAATATTTTAACACTCAGTCATTTGCACGCTTACACACACAGTTGCAGGATGAGGTTGTTCCGTGGGGCGGGGGAGGCGAGATCATTAAAACTGGCCAAGGAAATAGACTTTCAGAGGAAAGGAGGGCATCTGGACAAAGTGCTAGATGGCAGCCCATTGCAGTAGATCACTCCATCACATACATACACCTCCCCCACTTCTTCCTCACTAATGTTTTCTCTTTTGCTTACATTAAACTGAAAGTATGGTGCAATTATATATTCAACACCAGTAACAGCAATTAAATGTAACAGAGGTACTCTTGTAAAGTTTAAGACAAAAATTAATTACAGCATTCATCCAACATTCAGAACACAAAAACGTAACTTAATATTTTTCATATGCTAATTCAGATGTTCAGTCCTAAGTAACACAACAGAAGCACAAGTGGACCTCAAAATTCACGTGTATATTTAAAAACATATTTAAACACTAACCTTCATATTTCCCAATCGCCTTGTCCTGTCAACCACTAGAAGCTTCTTAATAAGGTCCCTGTAACAGAGGAAACATTTGTCATGGTTTTATTTCATTAGGATATGCATGCTACAAACCACTGAAAGCACTTTTATTTTACCAGCATAAACATTGTGTGTGTTTTAACAATTCACGTTTTTCCTATTTCAGAACGTCTTACATTCAAAGGGTTCAAGACTGGTATGAAAACAGGTAACCTGTCTCAGAGGAACAGAGGTGAATCTCTCTATAGAGTGTAGTTTCTTAAGAAAAGATTTGGGATACAAGTTCCTTGCCTGAAATGTCTAACCTTCCCCTTTGTATTTTGTTAGGCATTCAAAATCTCAAGTCAAAACTGAACTTCCTTCAGAACATGTTTTTAGACTAGACCTTATAGCAAATTAAAAAAGATATATTTTTCAATCGTTCGGTTTTAGCCAAGAATATATTTAATTCTACCTCAGTTAAAAACAGAGAAAATGTGGAACAGCAAGTTCTCTGTTTAAAATATAGTAGGGACTAGCTTGCATTCAGAAGTCCTCCGTAGAAAATGAAATGTATACTTTGAAACTAACGTCGTTTTATGAGCTTTGCATAAAGCTAAATTCAACTTTTTAAAAGCTGAGACAACACTTAGAAAAATCAAAAGTATTATGTAAATACATTTGTAAGTACTATGTTAACAACAAAATCAAGGATCACATGTTGTTTTGTTATTCCAGTGTAAATCCAGAATAACTCCATTAAGGCCTGGTCTACACAAATCATCTTACGTTGACCTAACTACAACCTTGTCCTGCCAATATAAGTGCCCTACTACACCAACATAACTATTCCCCCTCCATGAGAGGTGCATGGCTTATGTTGGTGTAGTTAGGGAGATGCCATCTTACATCTTCTGTTGGCTGTCTTAATTTCACGGCTCCGTGCTGGAGCTGTGAAATTGACAAGAAAGCCAAGCATTTAAAGTCCGGCTGTCCCTAAGTAGCTGCTGCCAGCCAGGCTGCTGCCCGGAGGTTCCTCTCTTTGGGAGGTGAGGAGCTCAGAAGGCTGCCCCCCACTCCCAGCCAGTAGCGGGGCACCAAGATCTGGGGGTGGGGCGGAAGGGAGCTGTGCTCCCAGCAGGAGCACCCGAAGAAGTGGGCTGTAGTCCACGAAAGCTTATGCTCTAATAAATTTGTTAGTCTCTAAGGTGCCACAAGTACTCCTGTTCTTCTTTTTTCCCAGCAGGGAGCGGCATGGAGGGCTCAGCACCTCAGACAGTGGAAGCGCTCTTGGTGAGGACGTACACTACCAACAGAAGGTGGGTAGTAATTACTGCGGTGGCTGTAAGTCGACCTAACATAGGTTGACTTAGGGCATGTCTACACTAAAGCCCTAAGGCAGTGAAATTACCCTGGATATACACAGGTATTACAGAGAAATTCAGCAACAAATTTCTACAGTGAATTACATGTTCTCTCAATGGCTATATTCTTAATTATCTACAACTTATCCTCTTCAATAAAAGCCAAGTAACAGTTTTGTATGTTCCACAATAATCAATGTCTAAGACAAAACATACAGCTTAGCCATCTTCGCTGTTTTGCAGCCTAAAGAAGAAAGAGGTGCTACTGCAATCTTCCTTGTATGACGGGACTTCAAAACAGGAGTTCCTCAGAGAAAGATTGTGGAAAAAAAAAATCAGATCCATATTTATCTAACCCAGCAAATAAATATAGTTTTTTTCCTTTCAGAAACCTAGAAATCTTAGTTTGGGGCATATTGAAAACGGTGAACTGAATAATAAATTTGCTAAACAGCTTGAAAACTGTCATATATGGCAGAGCAAATATTTCTGAAACTCAATGGGAAAAAAACCCCACTCAGCTGCCAGCTATACGGGAATACAAACGTGACATTGGAAGGAGATTTCCTAATCTCCCATAAACATTTCAGCCAGTAAATGGCTGGATTTAGATTCAGTCATTTGTAGTCATTCCTGAAGGAATTTCTTCTCCTCCCAGGGCATCCCAGAGGACACTTAAGGATGAGTGAGGGAGGAGGAGAAATTTAACCATTATTGTTCTAAACAAAGAGACACCCTTTCAAATAGAAGAGTGAAAAGTAATTCAAATTAGAAATGAAGGGCCAGATCTATTGCTGGATCCCACTGGGTTAGAAACAAGTTTGTGTAGTCGCTTACTGTGTCATTTATATCAGCATTGTGTTATTTAATTGATGACTCTTAGCAGAGTAAGTTGTAGAGCTCTTCTTTTGACTGCTCCTCAAACAAGCCTTGGAAATGCAGAAAATACACAGCTGAGACAGGAACTGACTCAATGATGTTGAGTTGTCACTGAAGCTGTGAAAGTATGTTGCATTCAAAGAGAAGGAGTATCCAAATTAACATCTGCATTAAGAAACAGTGTAGTGCTTCCTTAATGTCCTACTTTATACACAGGATTAAAAAGTCAAGTGTTCTAACAGTTCATTACAGATAGTGTTGAATTCAAGTAGGTGCCGATATCCTAGATCAGACCTGCTCAATAATAATTATTTAGACTGCAATGGCACCCCCATTGTTATGCATTTCCAAAACACAAGAGAGGACATCTTCGCCCTGAAGAGTTTACCCAAAAAACCAAAACCACACACCACACACTTTTCAAAACAGAGTGGTCAGGTAGGTGACTGACACACCTATTAGTAGTTCTATTTTTCAATGGGGAACAGGGTGGGCAGGGGACAGCTACAGACAAATACCTTAAAACCAAGGGATTATTAGATGGCAAAATTCTTGTAATTTGTGTCAGAAGTGGTTCTTGAGTACAGATTTGAACTAGAAAAGGATAATGGTCAGGGCATGAAAGTTCAGGAAAGGCATTTCACATGTAGGGGATGGGAAGGAATAAAGCACAGACTTCAGAGTAACAGCCGTGTTAGTCTGTATCCGCAAAAAGAAGAACAGGAGTACTTGTGGCACCTTAGAGACTAACAAATTTATTAGAGCATAAGCTTTATCCGAAGAAGTGGGCTGTAGTCCACGAAAGCTTATGCTC